CGCTGCTAACGCTCTAACCGCGACAACCTCTTTAACATCAGCAGCACAGCTTCTCATATTGTCCCCACCCTTCACCACATTAGATATCGGGCAGGCTTAAAAGTAAACACGGATGTTCTCAGACGTTTAGCGCAGCCGTCTGCTTTTACTGTTCCGTTTTCTTTACTTCCTTTACTCTGCTCGTGACAAATGCAGTGAAACAGAGAGCAGAGGAGAGGAGCGAAACTGCAAATGGCTGCAAAATCCAGTAAAGCCATGCAGTGAGCTGAAATGAAACAAACCATAAATTGAGTAGATAACAAATAAAACACGTCTGTTCTTTTTATTTTTTAGTTTCATGTGTAAATGGGGCCCTATGGCAAGTAAAAGGGAAACATCCCCCCCCCCCAAATAGCTAATTGGTGTGGGTGAAACTGCTAAAGGGGAAATTAAAGCCAGTGAGACAGCAGGGTATTTAAATGTACACTGAAGTCGCTGGTGCATTTTTAAATAAACAAAGTAACACCGAACATGTCGTACACGATGCATGTTCACACCACAAGCTCAGCAAGCTTGCCGTTTCATTTTCACTGTCCCTTCCTCGATGTGCATTATACTAAAAATCAATGGGACCGTGTTGTAACGTCAGTCAGGAGGGTGTGTGGTGTGGCAGCTGTTCCACAGATGGAGTTTTTAAAGAGTCTGCAACATGCAGATAAGCTCATAGTCGTTGATAGTTTTTTTTTTAATATCAAAAGTAATACCAGTGGCTACCAGGCTGCTCGATGGGGCACCACGCCTGCTGACAAATCTTCATTAAACTGACCACTTTGTTTAATCTCATACTGTTTCTGGCAACACTACGTTTGTGTACATTTTAAATCTTTGCAAGGCTTCCTCGTTGTGCAAGCAGAGAGTTTAGCATTTCAATCATTTTAACTTTGAACGGTTTCACTTTCATGCGCTAAAATGAAGCAACAAAGAAACTACATTAGACTGATCGCCTTGTATCATTTAGAGTTTGCACATAATGCTCGCAATGTCCAAAATCCTAATTCGCTGTGAAAATGTCTGCGTTATGAAACCCAAGAGTAGCTCTAAGCATCACTTTTCTCTCCACTGATTGCTCCTAAGAGAAAACGTGAAGTGAAAATGAGGTGCAGCCTGCAGAAAAAAAAAGAAAAAAAAAAAAGTTGAAATTTTGTGCAAACAGCACCTTGAAGATGTGCAACTTTGCATACTGCAGGATGTGATCATGAATGATTGATTAGGATGTAAAACCGTACTCTCAGGATTTATGCAAAATGAGCTTGCTGAGACTGGGCGTGCAGATAAGCACAGGAGAAATCACGAATACGACACACAATGAAACCCATACATGTGCACATCGGCACAGAGGACATGGTGCTGCATAAACATCAGCGTCATTGTTTAAGGGGCGCGTCGTTCTGCCTTTGTTCTGATTGAGGTCTGAATGACACTCAGACCAGAACTTTTCTCATTTAACTGGAAAGACAAAGCAAGGCAGCGCTGGGCTCTAAAATAGGCTTCTTCTGGTCACATCCTGTCTCTGAAATGAGTCTGTGTGAGCTTGTTCCAGGCCTGTCCTCCTTTAAACTCTGTGACCCTTTTCCACAAAGCCCAGGAGAACCCCAGAGAAGCTTAGAGGATGCACAGAACAACAGGTTTGCAAAGTCTGCACCTGCTAAAACATCCTCATTATCTGGTGGTAAAATGGTAAAACTGCAGCAATTTACATGTCTAACTGAACTGAAGCTGACAAGAGGTTTTAGAAGGCTGAGACTGTAGTTTATACCGATGCAGGTTAGCGACTTTCTGTACCAACATCACATATGTGCTGTCCAGATTCGACTGAATTCAAGGTCTGATGCTGAAGCGCTCCACACTGCTGTTCCTCGAGACTGGCTCCAAAATCCAGTCACTACAGACTTCCATGTTAAAATGTTCAAATTTACAGCATTAAAAAGCATGTTAACTGCCCAGGAGAAAAATGGTTTTAATCTCTGATTTTTTTTTCCAATTCATCCATTTGAATACTGGAGTTAAGAACGGTGCACAGTGAGGTGAAGAAGAGCATGCAGGCAGGGTAGAGTGGGTGGAGACGAGTGTCGCAGGTGATTTGTGACAGAAGAATAGTGGCTAAAGCAAAAGAGAAGGTTTCGAAGATGGCTGTGAGGAGAAAAAAAAGGGAGTCAATCTGGAAGTGACAGAGTTGAAGATGCTCAGAAGAAATAAGGCTATCAGAGGGAGGGCTCTGGTTACGGTTTTGGAGAAGAGGTTAGAGAGGCAGGGCTGAGATGGTTGGACCATGTGCAGAGGAGGGATGGTGGATATATATGAAAAAGGATGTTGAGGAGGTTTCATGGATGTACTGAAGGAGGATAGGCAGAGGGCTGATGTGACAGAAGAGGATGCTAGGGTGGAGGCAGATGTGGAGACCCTTAAAGGGAGCAGCTGAAAGAAGAAGAAGAAGAAAGGATGCTGGAGTTCAGGGCGTGGCCACTTAGACAAATACAGGCAGCAGCTGACTGCACCAGACAGGCAAAGTGTTACGGACCATTTAGATTTCTCTGGTCAATTTTTGTAGAGCTTAAAATCTGAGTGTCTGGCACTGTTACCAGCATCATGCTTTCGTGTGGTACTCTGTATTAATTATTAGGAGTGAGAAAAAGGGAAAAAGAAAAGAAACATATCAATACAGCATAGTGTCAGTGTATTTTTGCATTGTTATATTGTTTCAATACAGGGGCGCCAAATATGAATATTTCATTAAATAAATACAATAAATACAAATACTTTGAGAATATTACGACCCAGGGGGTTCAACCTACCTGATGGGTGGCAATCTTTCTACAAGCTGTTGCAGTCTGATTTGGACTGACTGCAATCACTCAGAGAAATCGCCAGAAGTTTGCAAATATTTGTTGTCTACTTTAGAAATGCAGACTTTAAACTTCAAAACAAATAATTGGCGTCCGGGTGTCTAAATCTATATTTCATACCTCAATAGCCTTCAGAATTTTAATCAATCACCTTGATATGTCAGTTAAAAGGTATTGATTCATATTGGTTGCACTGCACATAATCGCCCCAGTGTCGACCATACTGGTAGTATCAACCAACTACTGATCAACAATGACAGCTGAATTTTTTAACATACAGGTTCACAGTGTCCAACCACCACCAACGAGTGATGTAATTAATTAAAGTTGAAATAATGTCAGCTGTACTATTTGGGATGCAAGAGTCTAAATTCTTGGGTGCTGGTTTAGCTCATGGGTAAAGCACCTGACCCATATCAAATCTGCCTGAGGACATTTGCACAGTCTTCCCTGATCTTTGTACCTTTTTTGTACCCTCTTCACTTAACAGCCCCTCCCAAAAAATATAACCTACACTAGGTTTAGTGTCCTTAAAGATGATCTGAAACTATGAATTAACCGAATCTCCAGGCGCTTATGCCCAGACAGGGAGCTGCACCAAAAAGCTCTTTGTGATTGCTGTAGTCACTCGTCCTTTGCAGAGAAGACTCTGACTTCTTTATTCGCCAAGTGGCTGTGAAACTGAAGAGTGCAACACTTGTGTGTTAATAGCTAATGTTTGCCTTCAAAGTAAAGAGTTATGCCTTTTGAAACATGGTGGTTTCAGAAGTAGGGTACAACTCTTACATTAAAGGTGAGCAGTGTAAATTTCACTAGTGCTCAATGGTTTGTTGGCAAATACGGACAAGTTGACACCTTCCATGCAAACTAAGGGCACTGCAGCAACCACAAGGAGGTTATTGGTGCAGCATACAGTTTGCAACAGACAGCAACCTCCAGCAACCACTCTCCATCCGGTCTCTAGGTCTGTGTGAACTAATGCAAAAAACTAATTCAAATCTTCTTGGTAATGTTCCCAACATTTGAAACGACAGAGAAAATGCAAAGCACAGTAATCAACAAGATTTGGTTTCAAATGACTAAAAGGACACTACAGAACCCCAAGGCATGGAGGTAGATCGAGCAGATAATTGGGTGGAAGCAATTATTGTTAGTGTTATATATGTAAAACCCTGCTATAGAGGAGCATTAGAAATTATATGCCATGGACTATAAACTCTCAGTTCAGCACATCTGCACTATCAAAATTATATTAAAATATTAAAATGATGACCAGCAGCCATACATATACATATATATATATATATATATATATATATATATATAAATATGCTCACAATGATGCAAAAGAAGCAGCACGAGTTTGGTTTCAATGTTCTGAACTAATTAAGGTAAATAATAAACGCAATGAAAAGTAAATGTGCTCTAAAGAAATTTTTAAAAAAAAATTCCAATTAAATCCCTGCTGTTCAACTAACTCATTAATTGTAATTGAGCTGGAAGACATCTGCAGCTGATAGAGGGGACAGGAGGACAACGATTACAGCCTCGTTCTCCTGGTCTGACCTCGGTGCTTGGGATCAGGCTCAACTCAGATATGTATGTTTATATAATAATAAAAGATCTTCTATCACACACAAAGCTTGGTCTCAGGCCAGGTCACACCCAGCTGAGGATCTACACTGAGTCAAGGATGAGCTAATCAATAGGTGTAAGGTGTCTAAGCAGGGAGGTGCACCTGACAGGACCTGTGCAAGCCCCTACCTGTCCGGTCAGTGGTGTGTGTGTGTGTGTGTTTGGTGTACTAGCAGCGAGCTGGCTGCAGTCAGGTGGATCAACCCTGCTCAGCCTGCCGGGACCAGCTAAGATACATGAGGCTACGAGCTAAACTGCTAGTTAGCTTGTGTGCTTGAATGCTAGCCAATTAGCGAGCTAGGCTGCAGGTTTTAGTCGGATGGATCAGGTGAAGCTGATGACTGCTTGGGTAACAAGTCCGCCGATCACCCCCCTCTCCGAAAAACCACAACAGGCAGGTGAAACAAAGCAGTCCTGACGTCAGGCTGAGATAACCACCAACTGCCGGGGTAAACAGTGAGCACGTTAGCAGCTGTGTGGTACCTTTGTCTCCCTGATGTCCTGCTTCGCACCTTCGGGGTACCACTGGACGCGGACAAATCCCCTCCCGAGAGGCCGACTTGGGGTGTCCACGGCGCTCTCAGTGTCCGAACCGCACGGTACTCGTCCGCCGCCTCCTCCACCGCCGCCGCCGTCTCCGCCTCTCCCTCCGCCATCGTCGAGGTCCGAGTCTGAGTTAAAGTCCTCCTCGCCGTGGATCATCCGTACGAGGCCAAACCGGACTGAGCCGCGATATCGTCCGGAGACCAGGTCGTGGGAGAAGAGCAGCCGCTGTGAGCCGTCCGCGGTGGGGGAAAGAGCCATGGAAGGAGGCTCAGAGCCCGGGCTGGCTACGGGAGAGAGGCCCGGTGTGGGTGATGATGCCGCTGCTGCTGCGTCTGTCTTGGCCGCTGCATCCGATGCTACGGGCTCCGCCATCGCCGCTGTTGTCAGGGAGCGATGCTGGAGCGCGAGGATGACGGTGGAATAAAAAAAAACTGTAACCTGGAAGCAGCGAAGCGCACGTGTTTACGTAGCTACGCAGGCTACGTAAGAAGCGCAGTGTGGCAGCGTCATCACGCAGTACCCGCTGTCACCACTGAGGGGCGCCGAGAGCCAGAAACAGGAGCCACCGAGAAAGACCGCAGGCGGTACGTAAAGTATGATTCGTAATCTGCTGATGGGAGACTCTCTAACTTACTCTAATTGTGTACATTTTTATTTTACGCCAATATTTTAATGGTTACATTTCGTTTTCTGCTGTAAATTACTAATATTTTTTGTTATAAATTTCATTATATTTGGTTATGTTCCCTTTTAAATTATATTTTCCTAAGTCACGATAGTTAAAAAAGACATCTCTCTCTCTCTCTCTCTCTCTCTGTTTGAGTGTGTGTGTGTGTGTGTGTGTGTGTGTGTGTGTGTGTGT